GTACCTATTCAAGGCTGGAGAGTTTGGCTATTTTTTAGACAATATCGTAGTTGTTGCCAAGTATACGGTAATTTTTCCATAAAAAAAAAAACTATGTGTCGTGCCCAGTAGGTTTTTTTTTTATAATACCAAGTGCCGGCATGAACGACAAGCCTGTCCATAACGGTTGCAGTGCCACTCAGAGCTTTAAATCGCAAAGGTCTTATAGGCACTGCCACTGACACATACTGAGACATAAGTTAACAAGTCCCATGTGCCTGTAATTTCACCAGCAACCTTACTTTTCCAAACCGGAACGCAGTAATGCTTACATTACAGCTTGACGGCAGAAATACGTAGCTGTTCTGCTACTAAAACTGTACTGCAGTGAACATATAATGGTCGTACATGAGCTTATGATGATCAACATTGAACCGTAAATAATTATATTTACTTTGAAACTGAACGTTTTTTTGTAATCCTACGGTTTTTAAGACTTAACACGAAATAGTCGCCAATGCAACAATTCGGAAATACGACGAAAAACTAGTGCAATAAACCTGGAAGAAATCTTCGAGATCATTAATTGTGACGACCTTCGGACATGTCGCTATCTAAAACAATTACCTAACAGCTTTGCTATATAAGATGGAAGTACAGTTACAGCACATCATTCGGTGAGAGACCGTCCAGTCAACCATGAAAAGTAATTTATTACTTTTGTTTGGTTTGCTCATTGTAGCCGTTACAGCCCACAAATGGAGCAAGGGCGGTGGCCATCACGGCCACGCAGACCACCACCACGGTCACAAAGGTCATGACCATAAGGGGCATCACGGACATCATGAGCACCACCATGGACATAAAGGACATCATGATAGCGGAGGACATAAAGGCCATCACGGACATGAAGGCGGTCACAAAAAACATCATCACCATGACGATGGGTACCATCACCACCATCATAAGGGAGAAAAGGGCAGTCACGGCCATGGACACGACGAGCACGGTCACTGGCATAAAGGACACGATACAAAAGGACATCATGGAGTCGAAAAACATGACGAATTTAAGAAGGATAAACATTTCCATAGTCACCATGGGGACAAAGGTTACCAAGAACATCACGGCGGTTACCATCATGAAGGTGGTCACAAAAAGGGTGGTCATCACAGTTCTGGACATAAGCATCACGGGCATCATGATCACCACCATGGCAAAGGCGGTCATCATCATGAAGGCGGCCACCATCATGACCATAAGGGACATCATGGTCATGGTGGCCATGACGAGCATCATCATGGTCATCATGATCATGGTAGCAAGGGTGGTCATGAACATCATAAGCACTGGGGACACAAATCTGGTCACTAAACAGATTTCATTATTTTGTTGAACAGTTGTTGTTGTTTGTTATTGTTTAAATAAAACTATTATTGCCCGGGTACTAAGTTACTTTCTAAGACTTATATTACTAAAATTCAATCGAAATTTCGGGGAAGAAACGGCGTTACAGCCATTTTCATCAAAAATGACTAAAATCTCATTCGATGTCTACTCAAAGAGTGTCATTTGCCTAAAAAATGGCTTTTATACGTAAACATAATAATAAAAATAAAAAACAATATAAACCCAAACTATGTATTTATTATTGTTGTTTTTCAATCATCTTGTATATACTCATAATGCTCAACTCACTCAATATAGCCCCGCACTAGGTAAACCGTGTCGCGGGTGCCATGGACACGCACATAGATAACAACAAGTTACACCCAAACTCACAAGCGAAATAAATGTAAGCCATACAAATATTTCTCCCGGCCCGGGAATCGAACCTGGGACCTCTGCGTGGCAGTCCGGCATGGTAACCGTTCGACCACGGAGGCAGTTAATTACGGGCGGGCAGTGAATTAAAACCCATTCAAACCCAAGGGTTTAACCAGGTTTTAACCTAAAGCGCCGTTTCAACCCATTTCTGCCCAGAATCGTGGGCGGAATGAATACGGAATTTGGTATAATTTCATACTTATTACAAATTTCAACGTAAACAAACTTTTTTAGGTGAAAAAAAAGGCGTCTCCACACAATACCCACCTTGCAATTCTGTGGAATAATGTTGATTCTTTCTACTAAGAATGCACACTATGAAACGATTTTACGATCCATCGATTTTTTGTATCGATTTATTTCGGTGTTATTATCAAGCGAACCAATTACTAGAAAGGCACAATCGGCTAAATCAGAAACCAATGAACATTTTGTAGTAATATAATGATATTATAACTTAAAGATAAAATAATATAATTTCAACAAAACTCGACATACAACAAATGTTTAGTTTTTGCCCTCGATTTCGGGGGTTAATGGGTTTTATCCCGATTTAAACCCGGTTAACAAAGCAAAACTCGCGCGTTTGTCCATCTCTGACAGTGATTATTTATTTCTTTTAAATTTCGATGCAATAAGCTACCCGAAATCAATTGAAAATTAGACACTTGCAAAAATCGAACATGCAAATCGAAAAAACAAAGCAGATTAAGAAATGTTAATTTGTCATTGAGCAATTATCGATTAACATAGGCATTGACGGGCGGCGCAGTGACAGTGCCCCTAAGAACTTAGCTTGCCCCTAAGATTTAAAGCTTTGTGGGGCTCTGCAACTGTTATGGACAGGCAAGTCGCTTACCACCAGGCGTACGACTTGTTCGTCCCGTCCATTGATATGATCTTGACATGATACATAAAAACCTTAACCACCTAAGATGCTATCCAAATATGCAGAATAGCAGAGTTAGGAATCCAAGAAATAATAAACAATTAACAAAAAATTCACACGAGGCCATCATTAAGTATACCTCTTCTGATTAATAAGATGATACCATATTTTGTCAGTAGTAACATTTTCATTTGTCATGCCATTCATCAATTTGATCAATTACAGACGGAAAACCATCTAGTAAATTTAATTAAGGCAGTTGCTAGTTCATTATTTAAGTCAATCGATAAGATCTCTTCTATTACAAAAAGACAGTTATATAATAAGCTTACGTTATTATATTATTTCAAAGACAATTTTAATATTTGAAGTTGATTAAAAATCAAAGTTTAAATTATTAAGTAATCATTTTTTTTTAAAACAACTTTTAATAAAGGACATAACTATCTAGTTTTGGTATTTTTCTACTATATTAATATTTCACGACTACTTGTAATCAACGAATGCTTGAATCGATTAATTGAATGGAATACGTGTATTCCGTCGAAATCGATTTAGCGCGGAAGGAGGTTTCCCATCACTAAACAGTTCTTGTGACGTTATGGTGGACACATAAAATGTGCCACGCTCAGTTTTCATACAAATTACTGTACTTGCGGCGTCTATCTATATATATGTCTGTGCCGATGACAGTACTGCTAGACTAGTTTACTGTAGTTACTTCCATGGTAAAATGTCCTACGGGATTCTCGCGTGGGGTAAAGTGGCAGGCATATAAACCATTTGTATTGCAAAAACGGGCGGTTCATTCTATGTACCGTTTAGGTTAGGTTAGGTTAGGGTTTCTATCAGAAAAAAGTTTAAGGAGACCGGTATCATGACTGTGGCATCACAGTACATTCACTCAAATATTTTGTATATCCGTAAATACATACACAATATCATTACCAAAGAAGATGTCCATAATATTAACCTTAGAACTAAGTCCAAACGCATGGAACCACGATTTCGTTTAACTGATGTAAACGATTCTTTGATGGCAAACTGTTTCCGTTTTTACAATAAGATTCCGGAGCATGTATTAAGATTATCATTTCCTAATTTTAAAACCAACATTAAAAATATTTTAATTGAATAGTCATATTACAAAATTGAAGGTTACGTGTGACATACATGATAAATAACATGACCGTCAAGCTTTGAGCGGGACAGTCCCGCTCTTAAGCTTTGTGTCCCGCTGTCTCCAAAATACTTAACAATACCCCGGTTTGACAAAACAGGACACACGTGACATAAATCTGTTAAAAAACTGGTGCGAAAGCGAAAAGTACATACATATGAACGTAATAGCCAGCCCAGCAGACTACACAACATTAATTCTGTTTTTGAATTACTGACCATTAAACGCTTTTAGTTCTTTTTTAATTTTATTTAATTATTAAACTTTTCGCAACCCTCAAACATGCACTTTATTTTAAAACAATAGTAAATTTACAGGCGTCCCGCACTGAGGAAGAAAAATAATGGTCGCGTTAACCACAGAGGACTATGTTCTGTATGGGTTTAAACCACCATGCTGGGTCTTAGTAACCTCCAGATCCCTGGCTAACAGTAAGTATAGATGGTTAAGTGGTTTAAAAACGTTTTCGTTTTTTCTATGGCGAATGTTGGTTTCATTTTGTCTATTACATATATCGTACTTTTATAAAGAAACAGTAATTCTTATAAAACATCGATATTGCAAACGTTACAGCTCTACAACATCGAGTCTCTCAATTGATCACGCATAGGCATAACTCAGTAATTGTTTACCTTCAAGGTATTAAGATGTGACTCTGTAATGTTCCCCTGCATTTTGTTACTTTAATTATTACAGGGATGCCATAACGAATACTGGCAACCTATCTAGTATTAAAGTCTAGTATTAAAATTATGTACGTCACTTCATTTATTACACAATTAATTATTCAAACGCTCAAAACTATAACGAGCGGTGGCGGGCGGGGGTGCAAAACCCGTGGGAATGCGTGCGCAGAGGCCGGTAAGGGTAGCGGGCACTCGCTGCATGTTCGATCTCGCATGCATATTACAAAATCTTAGAGGCGGAAATTTTTCTTACAGAAAAATATTCAAAAACAGTAGTGTTTTTTTTTACATATTCGGTATGGATACCCGTATATACACACAGCTACTCATTTGCCTCTTTAAATATTTATCTTCTCAACCTGTATATATGAAATAACTCATTGATAGAAACAGTTTGACATAACCTACAGCATAAAATGAATATGAATAAAATGTGAAATGCTAAACTGGACGTATGTTAAAATTTTTCTAATTCTAGTCACAACAGTTAGGAGAGAAGAATGATACATATTATTGTATATGTGACTGTACTCGTTTACGTAGAAAATATATAGCATACTCACTCCTTTCGTCCCCATGCGGGCCTTAATAGCCTCCAGCTGTTTCCTAGCGGCGGCATTGTGTGGTTCCAGCTTTAGCACTTCGTTGAGGTCATGAGAGGCCGAGCGCAGTGAGCCCAAGCGCTCGCGGGCAGTCGCTCGACGTTGCAAAGCCTTTACGTATGTTGGGTCTAGGCGGAGAGCTTCAGTACAATCTGATTCCGCTTGATGAAGGCTGAAAAACAGAGTATAAATTATCTCATTGAACAATGTTAACGTAGGTAGTATTAAGTTAAACGTAAGCGGTGCGCGGCTGTGTCCGCCACCAAGTTAACGGCAGTCGAGTAAATTCCATAAACTCAAGCGCAAGTGTTTGCTTTCCGCACATTTCCTTTTTCAAATCTTCAACCGACCAAACAGTTTACACATTTAAGGGCTAAAGCAATAAATCTTGTATATGGATATCATCAACCCATTCGTACGTCCCATTGCTGAGCACGGGTTTCCTCTCAGGCGAGGGTTTAGGTCATACTCTGCCACGCTTGCCCAATGTGGGTTGGGGACTTCACGTTTTCCGTTTCCGTGCCGGTTACACATCGAGTAAATTGCCAGAAATAGAGATGACATAAGGTCCATACATTCCTGGTAAATCATCAGTGATACATCACTTATAAATATCAACTCTCGTTTGTACTGAAATAAAGACATGCCAACAACTACCTAACAACCTGTGTGTATGTCTCCGTATAATCCAAAAATATTCTGTATTTATTGTAATAAAGATAATATCTCTAACAATGGCGTGCTGTTCCATTCGGTGGTGTGGGAAAAAACTGCAAAACATCTAATTACAAAACAAACAAAATCAAATTTCATCAGTAATTAAATATAGCACAGCCCAAGTTAACTGGTCGTTTTGAAGTGAAACAATTGACGACACTCGTCAATTGTTTCGAATTCAGGCTGGCCAATCGGAGCGCAGTTGTCACAGTAATGATGTGGCAGAGTAGTTTTCAAACAAATGAAATAACATTTCGTCTCTATTTCTGGTTATTTACTCGATGCGGTTACATGACGACGTTTTCCTTCACCAAAAAGTTAAATTTACATATACGTACAGAGAAATAGGTGTAAGCAGTAGGTCAAACTATCAGGCTAAGGTTTTATACAAGAAATTCTGTATACCCCACAGGGTTTCTTGATGCACAACAACAAATAATGCCAATTGCACAGCGAGAAATTAAAGATTTTCTTAAACTTTTGATTTTGCTGGGTCAAGAAGTCAAAGATGTTACATTCCTCTAAAATATTCTGTATCTTGGAGCACTTATAAGAATATCACATTTTGAAATTCACTGGACCAACGGTGAACACTGCTAGTAGGGTGTAATCCCTGTCATAAGTATATGAGAAAGGAAATTTAAAAAAAATTGGTTCTGTGTTAATGCCCCAGAGTGAATTTCTTTGCTCCGGTTTTCATAGTGTAATTATTATTATTACACAAGTACAGGCACAAGTATCATATACTTTACAGTAGTGTTTGGCAAACTCAAAAGCCACCGATCAATAAAAAAATCTATTTAAAAAAATATAAGAGTTTTTTATTAACAAAACCTGGTTTAAAATTTTTTGATTGCCAAAGATATAAGTCAATAACCTTAGTTATAAACATTGACTGTTGAAATCAAAATAAATTATACGATACCTGAGTTTAGTCAAAGCAATACAATTTAACTGCCTCCACAGCCGAGCAGTTACCATGTAGGTCTGCCATGCAGAGGTCTCGGGTTTTATCCTGGGCCAGGATAACTATTTGTATGGCCTACATTTATTTCTCTCGTGAGTTTGGATGTAATTTCTTGTTGTCCATGGCACCCGCGACACAGGGTTTCCCTAGTGAGGGGCTATGAATATGTTCGGTATTTATTTATTTACCTGTCCTTCTTAAGATAGCAGAGTCCTCTATTAGCGTAGTAAATGGCATCATCCTTAACAAGTTCAATAGCCCGGTTGTAACACCTAACTGCCTCATCCCATTTCTCCTGCTTCACAAATGCGTTGCCCTGAAAATAATTCAAAACACAACATGTGGAAAAATTTTACAATGTGAATGTACTTTGAAGTAAAATTTTATTTAAAGTAACATTTGTATTTAAGCGATTATGTGAAATTGACGAAAACGAAGTGTCAGTAGAAGATGGTACTCTGGTTAAAGAATTTCAGGGAATGGTCCAGCTACAGTACCACCTCGCTCTTCAAAGCAGCGGCTACTATAGACTATACAAAGAAGAAGCTATTATGTAGTTTTTCGAGGGTCCCTAAAGCAAAAAAGATTTTTCAGCATTACATATCCTGTATTTCTCTTTCTATCCAAGAATAGCAGATAGTAATAAAAAATCCGTGATATATCTTTTAACCAAATTATAATAAAGAAAAATACTGGCCATATATTAGTCCAACTACTGGTGCTGGTGATACTTTACCCAATTATTCATATAAGGAGTTGGTTACAGTAACCAATACGGCTACACAATGTCCTTAACTGTTGAAGTAAGGAACAGCTTATGACTTTGTATCTAGCAGAGGGACACCAAGGACATCAGGGTCTTTTTACTTATTGAAGAACATCCCTTTGTGAAATTGTTTTAAAAAACATATAACAATGGATATCAAATATACGGAATATTTATAGAGACAGCATTAAGCAATAACTAACAAGTTAAATTAAAATTATTATAGTGAACAAAACAAAAAAGAAATATTGTCATTATAAATAATAAACATAATAAAATAATAATATAAAGTACCAAACATTTTGTCCTAATTAAACTACTTGCATGTCGCTTCTAGTTTCGCCCGTTCTATGTAACTTTGTTAATTTTGTATAGCAACATTCATGTTAGCGATTGAACATTTAAGCAACTACCCACTTATTGTAGAAAAATTTTTATACTTAATCTTTGTTGTTAGAAATTTCAACTGTGGTCACATTTTGTAATTTATTCTCATATTAAGCGTATTGAAATTCTTAGTGAAAAATAATTCTTTAAACCTAAATTAAAAAATAATTTAGAGAAAGAAAATTAACTTACTCTCTCCTTCTCATACTGGGCTTCTTCCCTGAGCTTCTCCAGCTTGGCCGGCTGACTCTTCTTGCCGTCTAGTGAAGTGGGGCCTACTTCTGCCATGTCTACTTCCTCGCATGCTTTGTCCTGGAATACCAAGTAAACAGCAAAGTGTGATTCAGACAGGTCACTAAAACATTTAATAATTTGTTCAATATTTGCACTGTCTGTAAATACTTACAACATCATATTTATCCCAAGAATGATAATCAAAGGCAGAAATCCGCGTTTCCTGTTTCTTTTTCACCTGGACCGGCTTATCTTTCTTGATCTTACTGCGGACTGGGGGTAAGTCCTGAAAAGACAACCAAAATAAAAAATTCAGAACATATTTCAATTTTCACCATACATAATTTGCCCTAGTCTTTAACTTTACCGTGATTTGATAAAAAGTGTGCTCTAATAAGAACTTACAAGTTTTCTGCGAAAAGCAAGTCTACATCATCACGGGACTTAGAGATGGAATAAGCACTTGTTTATCCTGAAGATAAGAGAGGGCAGAGACTAGATTGTACTACGAAACAGATATGACGCTGATGCGGCTCCTAAGTCAATACTATCCTGCAATGGGCATACACTCTAGAGCAAACATATACCACTGCCAATGGAGTTAATTGCAGGAAAATCAATTACAGAATACAGTTCTTTAATTCTATTAATCTTTGCTATGAGTTGTGATTAATGGTGATTGATTATCTCAGCATGCCATGGATACAAACAGACAACCATATATTACACGTAACTCACCAGACAAATAAACATAAGTAATACAAATATTTCTTCTGGCCCGGGACTCGAACCTGTGGCAGACCAGCTTGATGACTATTCAGCCAGCCAGGGGCATTAACAATGGCAAGTAAAATTCTTATATTAAATCCCATGAGCTGAGAAATGCAATAGGGGATATCCTATCTGCATGGGAAGATGAGCTGACTACAGGTACCTATTGGATTAGAGTAGCTCTTGATAGAGCTCACAGGAAAGATCTGGAGAAGGCCTATGCCAAGAGGAACGCTGAGTCAAGAGATATAATATAATGTAGAAATTAAAAATGTAACATGAAATTATAATGTAACCAGTGTAATATAAAATATTGTAACTCTAAGTTAAAAAGGCTAGATAAAAAAAAAACAAGCAAATTGTTATTTTAATAAAATTTGTGGTCCCAAATGTTTCAGTGCTTGTGTAATTTTATTTACACATGATGTATAACCACTAACATAAAAGTTGGATTAAAAAACATTACAGATTCAATAATAGATTATTTTAAGTGACATAACCACTTTACAACACTTAACATCTCTAAAGCTGATATCCAAAATAATAATAATAACATAACCCAGGTCAATGTAAACGGGCACTAGGATTACAATTGCAGCTACTGAGTACAGGATACCCCATTTCGGAATATGGATCACAAAAAACCAACTATGGGCTTTACACTGAGATTTCCAAGTGCTATCTGTGAAGCTGCAGCCCACTGCTGTCCCGTAGAGAACTATCTATAACATACTGACAAAATGTAATAATTTACATAAATTGTACATTTAGTACTGAATCAATAATATAAGTGCTATGGCAAGTACAGGCATGTTTTTTATGGGGTATTATTTACGTAGTGACCATGACAGGGTTACGAAACATTATAAAATTATTAAACTGTGAAGCTTCACAATATTATAAAATGAAAAGAAACAATCTGAGTAGTTCCAATCAACAAAATATGTCAAGTAACGAATACTGACTTCATAAAAATTAATTATTGTTATTGATATGGAGTTCTCTGGTTTTTGCAATTGTTACAAATAGGAAATGAAACTATTTTGCCTGATTTAAATCACATATATTTCTTTTTCAAACAAAACCAATGTTTCGGGCCGTTTACAGGTGCCATGATCACGGTTGACTGAGGTGGTAAACTCAGAACATGGTAAAGAGGTGGAAACGTTGGTTTGTTTGACAAAACAATTATACACATGATTTAAATCTGGAAAAATAAATTCATTTCCTATATTGTCATTAATGTTAAATTACTATCAAATACAGGTACATTTTAATTTAACAAAATGGATTTTTTTTTCGTACGCCTGCTCGTAAGCGACACGCCTGTCCATGACACTTGCAGAACTACTCACGAGCTTTAAGTGGCAAAGAACTGAAGGGCACTGCCACTGAGAAAGTTGACAAGTCTATGTGCCTGTAATTTCACCAGAATCCTTACCCTTCAAAACCTAACGCAGTAGAGTTCATATTACTGCTAAGCGGCAGAAGTAGGTAAGGTGGCAGTACTTCTCTAGACGAACTCTTTCACGAAGAGCTCTACTGCTACTAAATAATAAATAAAAAATAGACAAGAACCTGCTCATAAACACCGTTGAGAGCAGCCTCCTTTCTTTTCATTTCAGTTTCCCAATTTTGCAAATCTGTCAAGTAAGTTTGAAATGACTTAGCATTATCCCGAGCTTGTCTTTGTATCTCGAACGCTTTATCCATTATTTTATCGCTTTTGCAACCAATTATCAAGCCAAACGAATTACTTTTTGTTACCTGTTTGATCGATAGGCGAATTTTTCGTTGTCAAATTACTGACAAAGACAAACAACTTCAAACATTTTTCACGTTGTCATGGCGGCTACGGTTTCTATTTTCGCAGTCATTTTACTCATTCAATTGATCAAAGTGAAATAAAATCTGTCCTTTCAGTATAACATTATCTCTGTTTTATGTTTCTAACACCAATATGGTTTAACAAAAAAACGAAACGTCGCTTTTACGTTCGGAATCACGCAGAAGTACGTACGTATTTTTTTCCTTACGATTTTCGATACGCAATCGTTAGTGAAAAGATAGAAAAAAAGTTTGCGATATAAAATTTGCAAGCGTTAAAAGTATACAACAGTTTGAAGGTATTATTATTAATTTTGAATAGTCTGAATACGCTTTGGGGAATTTATTGCTCCCCTAACAAACAATAAAGCGACCTCGTGAACTTCGTGAATGGCGATATAATTATAGTGTTTCGTGGTTTTTACAAATAGCTTTTTATCAAGTCGGGCAAACCATTTGCTATCGCTGACATAACAATCTATGTAACTAAAAACTATCAAATATTTTCGACAAGTGTGACACTCTCCTTGGCGACTCTCGTCCAAAGAGACTGCCACAGCCAGCCGGTATATTAGGCGGCGTCTGAAGCCGCCACGACGGTATTATCTTTTATGGAGATGAGAGAGATGTCACAATGCATTTTGAAAATTCTGACTTCGTTTATTAATATTCAGATAGATTTTTAACTTCAACTACTAGATGGGCAGTCTCAAAGCATGGTCTAACTAGACAAACAACAATAAATATTTTCAGGCCCTAGCACAACATAATCATTGCCAGTGTAGATATTGTACTTTAAAACAATAGCAGTGCATTATTTGATTTTTAGTTC